TGTATTGCTTGTAAAATTCTTTAGCCAACTGATATTGTTCTGCTTCAAAAGGCTCTACTTCGGCTCAGCGATTGCCCAGGTACCCGGACATAAGAAGATTTTCCAGCAGCATTCAACCCATCAGACGCTGTTTTCGGCAAGAGCACGACAAGGATGAGGAATAGGCCACGGAAAGGATCATCGACGTGGAGATTGCTGAAGGGGTCTGCCAAGCCGGTGAGGTGCAGCGGAGGGTGAAGCAGGCGAGCAGGCTCGAGCGGTTTCAGAGACGCGGGGGTCTGTCTAGAGGAAGAGAGGAGGCGAGGGAGATGGTGTCGAGCGGGAGAGACGAAGCAGGCGACTATTTTGGTGTCGACGGGAGGAGGTGAATCAGAAGGATGAGGCAGCCGAGGGGTTCGAAAAAGGGGAAGATGCGGGGAGGAGGTGAATCAGAAGGATGAGGCAGCCGAGGGTTTCGATACAGAGGAAGATGCGAGCGGAAGAAGGAAGCGTGGTTTGTGGCTTCGGTGCGGGAGATCGGGATCGAGCAGAGAAAGCGGGGATGATCGCGCGAGAAGACGGGGCGTGGTGCAGAGAGGGGGAGAAGGCGAACGGGAGTGGGGTTTCGGTGCAGGAAGCCGAGCGCGAGGGAGATGAAGAAGGCGAGCGAGGTCGAGCGAGAAGAAGAGAGCAGTGGGCTTCGGATCGTACGCGGGGATAAAGACGAGGGCGGAAGAGGCGAATAAGGTAGAGGAGCTTTCGAGCGCAGAGGGAGAGCGAGATCGAGCGAGGTCGAGCAAGAAGAAGAGAGCAGTGGGCTTCGGATCGTACGCGAGGATAAAGACGAGGGCCGAAGAGGCGAATGAGGAAGAGGAGCTTTCGAGCGCAGAGGGAGAGCGGAATCGAGCAGGAGAAGGCTGTCGAGCGAAGGTAGATGAGCAGGAGCTCGGGAGAGGCAAAGGAGGAAGATCCCGGAGGAAGAAGACAATCCTTCCTTTTAGAATTGGACCGGGGGAGTTGGGCGCGGAAATAAATTATTTTCATTCACGCAGCCCCTCAATTGGAAAATCCTAACTCTCCATTAAGATAAAGATTAAATGTCATATTTGAAATTCAGAAATTTAAAATTCAAAATGTTTAACCCTTGGTCAGCCCAAGTTCAGCTCGAATCAAACCCGAATTAAACTCGAGTTGAGCCCGGGCCCGCGTCCCGCTAAAAGAATGTAAACCCGAGTTGAGCCCCGGCCCGCGTCCCGCTAAAAGAATGTGCATCGATTCCGTGCATTTGCGCGCACGCGTAACCCTAGCAATATGAGTGTCCTTCTTAGCTAAAGTTGACGTTCTGAACGCGTCGGCGCAGTCCGTTTTGTCATCCGGGGTCGTCCGGACAAGTTCGTCGATGGGCGAGTTGATTCAAGTCAAAGTCGTGTATGGTGCGGTGAGTGCGTGAATTGCAGCGTTCGCGAGTAGTCGAGTCACAAAAGGTTCACCTAAGGCCGTTTGATCCTATAGGAACTCATTTTCGGGCCCTCTGTATGTTGGTCCTTAGCCCTTGCAACTAGAAGTTAAGTGCTTGGAACCACTCATGCGAGTTCTTCACAAAAATGAGTCAAGAAGTGGCTTGAAGTTCTACGGGAGGTGGGCTCTATTGCTAGTCCCGCTAGGATGGCAATAAGAACTCCTAAAGCTAGATCCTAGGTTCTAAGAGTAGGAGACTAAGACCTCACTAAAAATGAGGTCAACAGGCGGTTGCAGGAAATAGCAAGGAGGTTGTTTCTTGGTGACTGCAGCGAATACGACAGTAAAGGAAAGTTGTGGAGGGGTGAAATGATCAAGGATGAATATCATTGCAGGTTCAAACATGGTTAGAGCTCCCTTAATCCTTTGGGGACGTTCACCACCTTGGACAAGTTACAACTAAAGCAACTTCTTGTATTCGGATACAATCTTAGAAGGGGAGAATGATGACAATGACAGAATTTTGAAACAAAAAAAAAATGAAAATCTCAAAAAAAAAGTCACATATATAAGCCCTAGATACCTAGGATTAGATCCCTCTATGTAAAGGAGGCACCAAACTCATGTGGAAGAGCCGATTGGCCTTCCTTGATTTGAACCGGTTCAGTCCAGACAAGCCAAAATAGCGGGACTGGAAGCGGCTCCCTGTTACACCGCAAATTCTCGCGGCTAACGTTCTCGTTTGTGCAGGCACGGCGCCCCCGCGCTCCCTCTCCTTGACTTCCCGTGTCCAGATGTGTTTGCAGGAAAACTTCTCGCTTTGCGTTATCTACTTTTCTAATTGGGTCATCAAATTGTCACCATATAATGTGACCAAATCATCTAAAGTGACTCTCTTTAATCTTGTTTGACACTGGATTAATCCAACCCATTTGCAGATATTTTGTTTCGCATTTTGTCAATAAAGTCACTCATCCACTTATGCGTTCTCATATCAACAACACTCAACTTATTTTTATGCTTCTCTTTTATAGGCTAATACTCTGCACCATAAAATATTGTAGGTCTCATCATAATCTTATAAAATTTTTCTTTCTCATATTGTATGTCTCATCATAATCTTATAAAATTTTTCTTTCTCTAGCAATACTTTTCTATCACACAATAGGCTCGATGCATTCCTCCACTTCAATAATAAAACTTAAATTCTACTAATAACATCCCATCTATATCACCATCACTTTGAACAATAGACTCGTTTCACTTCTTTTAATGACTTGATCACTCATTGTTACAACCCGATACTGGATATACTACTATTAAAATTACATTCCATGCATCCAATTTTTGAATCTACCCAATTGAAAGCCTTTAGAATCTAAAGTTGACCTCCATAATTCTTTTTTTTTTTTTTTGAACTCTCTAATCTTATCCACATTTATTTAGTAAAGGTTATTATTAGCAAAAAAACATACACGAAGGTACATCCTCCTGTAAATATCCAGTAAGAACATTCATAATTAAAGCAAAAATATATGGGTTTAAAGCTGATTCCTGTGTTATCCAACTGAATGGGGAAATACTTGGCAATACTTGACCAATTCTCCTTGTGTTCGAACACAAGTAACAACTCTTGTATACATATTTTTAATGACTTCAATATAAGCAATATCAATATATTTTTTTTCTAGAATTATGCAAAGTACTTATTTTGGAACCTTACCCTAAGTTTTTCCTATATCAACAAAAAATCATGTAAATTCTCCTTATTCTATTTGTACTTCTCCATAAAGCCTCTTAATAAATGTAACGCTTCTACAATAGGCTTTGCCCGACATGAATCCAAAGTGATTTTAAGAAAATTTTTTATCACATTGTAACCTATGTTTAATTACTCTCTCCCGTAACTTCAATATATGACAAATTAACATAATTCATCTATAATTTGTATACTCTTGTTCATCCCCTTTATTCTTAAAATAGGAACCAATAGTCCCTTTATCCCCTCATGTGACATCTTTTCAGGTTTTAAACTAATATTATAAGTTTTGATTCGTTAGTTTATATGTTGTATAGCAAAAGATTAACATATATTCATTTGAAGAAGATAATTTTGGAGGATGATGTAGATCTATCAATTTGTAATGTGTCATCAAATGTTGAATGATTTTTGGAGGGTAAAAATGAAGTTTCTGAATTATAGTTTTTGTAACTAATACTATTTATTCAAAATCAATTGGGTGTTATAGAGACTTATTTTTATTAATTTATAAATTATAATCTTAGTAACTAAGACTTTCTATTCATGATGGAGAAGTTAAATCTCTTATTATGTTACTTACCATTTCATATTTTTAATTAATTTAATGGTTCAATTCTCGAGGCTTATGCCTCCAAACACCTCGAGGCTTTTGCCTTCCTCAGTTTTCTATTTAACAATTTCAAATCTTTGGCAAAAGCTTTTGTTTTATCTTTCATTTAAGGGTTTTTACTCATAGGGTTGTCTAGATTGCATAAGGAATCTATATAATAGTAATTATAATCAATCAATAATTTTTTTGGAATTGTGGACGCCAACATGGAAATTAGTGACATTTTCCTTCTTTGCTCTACTTCAAATCATTATCATGGTGCTTGGGCTTTGCAATTTGTGGATCATTACTTTTATGCCTTTGTGAATCCAACAATAAATGCCTTCTTACAACATGTTTGCCTCCTATTTTATGGAGTCATATTCTTCAACATATTTAATTTTGCATGATTGTTGGTTCGATTATTGACATAAGAGGAGAAAATAATAATTCCGTTTTAGAGAGTTTATTTGTAAGTTTGGTGGCATTAATATAATGTTTATCACTTATATCAATATTTAAACATTTAGATAAAACCCAAGGTAATATTTTTGGTAAATTATAGTTTAATTCATTTTTCATTTCTTTCTAACAAAATTTTAAAGAAGCAATTTGTGGTGACAAAATAGTCTTGAGGGAATTGATTTTTTGTTGAGAGATTCAAAAACCTATTATAATTTTTATACACATCATCTTGTTTGCAATTCTTAATTCATTTATGCAGTTGATCCTTATATTCATTGGTTGATATATTTTGTTCTTTAAAATTTTCTTTTAAGTGTCAGCTCACGAAGGTATAGTTTTGAGTTAAGTGTCAAAATAGTCCTGACTATTTGCATCGAACCGTTTTAGTTTATAAAAGTGCAAAAATAGTACCAAACTCTTTAAATTGGCTCTGAAATAGTTCCCATGAAGGGCTATTGGAGCTCAATTTGGGTCTATTTTGTCACTTATATAAATTTTGGGAATAAAACAACCTGCTATAAATAGTTGGAGTCTATTTTGACACTTTACTGATATAGTTTCACTTTCAACCTGCCTGTAGTCTTGAGTTTTAAACACATTTTTTATTACTAAAATAAATTGCTCATCCTTTTTCACTACTAGAGTATTGGGGATGTAATATTAGTAGTTTTCAGTTCTTTTTATAGTTTTTATCCAATGCTAGGTTCTAACTTGGATAAGATTAGAATTTTATTTTTGCATTTTCAGATCGAAAACATGAAGTCAATTGCAAAGCTTAAAGCTATTGAGGAAAGGAAAAGATTAGAATCTGAGGTGAGTCTTTCTTCCTACTGTTTCGTTGACGGCATTTTTAAACCATGACGTTTTAATCCAATTATGAAAGAGATTAGAGCTTGTTGTCCATTGCTAGTCACCATTATAGGTTTATAGTATTTACATTGTTCTGCAGTGCACGTGAAACTTTTTCTGTCATTCTTTATGACAGGAATACAGTCTGATAAGTATGGTTTTTTTCTTTTGCGCCTGTTCCCTTTATGTTTATATACTCCATTATCAGTTCATGGCTTGCTTGTTGCTTCTATTATAACCATTCATCTTTGCTTCTGTGGAGAAGACTTGATTTATCTAGAGATGTTTGCTAGAGTTTCAAAATATATTGGCCTATTTATTTTATTGTCTGGTTTGGTTCACATGCCCAAGAAAGCATAAACTTACTGATTCCTCCTTGATGGATTTTAGTCATAAGATCGTGCTACTACTAGTTGTATTGTTAGAGATGCTAGAAGGAAGTCAAATGAATGCTGTTTAATTTTGTATTTTTGTTGCATCCTGACTTTGGTCCGTGGCTGTGCAAACTGTTGCTATGTACTTATTATTTCTTACGACTTGTTCCTATGCTTGTTTTTTCACGTTTCATTTCCAGAAATTAAGTTTTTTTTGCTAACTCTGAAATTTTATATATTCTTGCCATTTTCATAGTACAATTTAAAGATGCTTTTGTTGGATTTCACGTGAATCTGTCTCTTTGGATCCTTTTTTTTAAAGTTACAATGCAGTAATTTTTGAACATGTTTCATGCTATTTAGTTTTAATGATGATAAGGATTGTCAGTCGACCCATTGTTATTATAAAAAGGTAGCATATGCCATATTTCCATTCTGATCTGTACTCTGGCTACATTGTCCATTTGTATGAGCCTAATTACTTGACTTCTTACTTTGGTTGTACTGATTTGTTAAAGAGAATGATATTAAACTTCTTGGCCAAGTTTTTTGGTTTTCATTAGCAGTGTTCTATTTATTTCATCATGATTTATACGTTGATTTAAGTGTATTTTTCTAAGCTTAAATAACTTCCAGCTTGAGCTTGTCTTGGTTGTGGAGAAGTTGCAAGAGCTTCGTTCTATCAGAATTGATAAACTTAAAAAACAAGGTAATATTTTCTGACTTTATTTTGCTTTTACATATGTATGTTGCAGTAAAACATATGAGAATTATACTTTTTTTTATATGGTATATAACTTCAGGTATGCTTTAAGTTATTTAATTTTCTCAATTGTATTCGTAAAATAGTGCCAAGCATAAGAGTTTGTTTCTGTGCGTTTCATGAAGTTTTCTTTTTTTTTTTAACTCTACTGTCCATTTGTGCCCTTCTCATCGGCGAATCCATAATGTTCCTTTCTAGTTTTCTTGTAAAATATTTCTTACATAAATACAGATACCTTCATTTCAGGATTATAAATTTTTCTTTCAAATTTAGTAGTCTAACTAGTATTTGGCATGGTCCAATTTGTTTGACTAATAAAGGAGATGTTTTATATTTTTGATCCATATTGTTCTGACCAATTTATTTTTAATGAGTTAATTTTTCTTTTTTCCCAGAAACAATTGGATTATGGTGATAACGTATCCCATTCTTTTTCTGAATTTCATGATCCCATGTATATCTGCAGGGCATTTTCTTCCAGAAGAGGATGATAAGTTTCTTGAGCGAGTAAGATCCGCTGTGGAGGAAGAAGAGAGACAAGCTGCTGCTGCTGCTGACACCCATGCTGCTAGGGATGCCATATCAACAGCTGAAGAATCAAGGAAAACAATCAGAATTACAAATCCTGATGCAAGCGTTGTCAAACAAAATAGAGTGGGAAGTCCAGTGAAGCAAGTGCAAGTAAGCACTGCAGAAATTGAAAGAAGCTCAACTGTGAATGCAACCCAGGGCTCTGAACAAAAAGTGGAAGGGCAAGGATTTAACAATGCCTATGAGTCAGTGACCAATTTACCAATTGAGTTTTACCAGTATTATCATGGGAGTAATAATGATATGGGGAAGCTCATAGAGGTAAGTTTTATCATCAATATTTCTTCTTTTTTCTTGGGCTTCTATTGTTGTCTTATTTTTATGGTAGATTTTTGGCTTTGCTCCCATTTTTGGTTGTTTTCAATTAATTCATTGCTTGAGGATATTTTCCCAAATACTTTGTTGCTGGTTTATTGATTGGTTAGACTAAGGGTGTCCGTGAGTCAGTACTCTTAACGAATAACTACATATGCAGCACTATCATTGCTAATTCCTTTATATGTAGCTCTATCATTGCTAATTTATATTTGTTTACGTGGATAGATAAAATAGGCCGACCATGATTTCTAACTTTAATGAGAAATGAAAAACATGGACATTGTTCTGCATGTTTTTATGTTTACAAGTAGCTTATTTAATGACATATTCCACAGTTTTGCGTCAAAGCTTTTCCATTTCATGTATGTAAAGTGAGGTATATTAATATAGATCGAGTAGAATAAAAACTCATTTTGAGCAAATCATTAAATAATTTGATTTGATTCTACTTTTTCATTATTATATAAATGTTTGGAAAGATAAATAAATCTTTCAACTTAATTATGTCGGCTTTTGTGAATCACTGTGACTAATTTATATGTTCGAATATTTGTTCGTCTCATTTTCCTCCCAAATATTCAGTTATACTCGTTTAAAGCTTAATTTCTGTCAGCTCTCCTTAAAGAGAAGAAACAAATATGAGCTTGAACATGTTTTGCAAATTCTGGTCATATTGAATCTTTCTTGAGCCTAATAAAAAACAAGCGAACAATTTTGAGCCAGGAATTTACTTGGTTCTGCTAGACTTATTTACTGGTTTCTGGTAGCATGCGTACTAGCTCTGGAGCTGCCTGCTTATATTCTATGTTACATATCTCTAAACATAGGTCTAATTAGATGGCCACCATAAACTTCCGGAATGCAAATATTTACATATAGTGAGGAAAGTGACTAATCAATGATGCCATCGGCCATCATAGACTTCCTAGGGATGGAATGCTACATTCAACATACTTGTTCCAAAGTTTGGGTAGATCTATTGCAGGTCTCACCCTAGAATTATGTGTTGATGGATGACAATGAAATTATTGAATTGTTAGAGGAATTGGAGCTACCATCACTAATGGAATACGTAACTCCATTTGTTGAGATACATGTAGAAAACTATGGAGTCTCAAAATGTCTTTATAGGGTAATTTATCACATTATAGAAAACTGGACTAGTAATCATGCTGAAATGTAATGCATCTACAAACGCAATAAGTACTGACTTAACCGAAAATATAGTTAGGCTTTCACAGTTGGTAATTTATTGCAGGTAGGATCCATAATGCATATGGGGTTAATATAAGCAAAGCCATTCTATTACCCCAAACATTAGAGTGAATAAATATTATCTTAAACATTAGAGTGAACAAATATTACAACTTTAAAATTTTCATTATGCATGACTTTTAATTTTTTGTTGTGAGCAATTAACTCATGCAAATGAACTAGAAATAATGTTACAACATCAAAATGTAATGTGTGAATGGGTAATTGATTAATTCTATTATGCTTTTTATTGGAGTTATGATGGATAAATACCTTCGTAAGTCTAAGGAACTTTTCGACAATAGTGCCCATCTCCCTTGATATAAATATTCATGTTAGGAAGGTGGACTATCCACCCCCCCCCCCCCCCATCTCACATTCCCTGTCTCCTTTAATCACTCATTCTTTTTCTCTCCATTATTTTTATTCTTTTCGATCTATGCCTTTGACCTGGTGATGAGCATGAACATGCTCAAACATGTAAGAAGCTATGGCGATTTGAATATATACTTATTAATTGAATGGATGATCTCCCTTCACAAAGGGAATCAACATGTAAGTATCTATGCAATAGTGCCCATCTCCCTTGACAAAAGTGAGGGTGGATCTATTTTGCCTCCATTGTGGTGTGGAGGTTACATAATTGAGTAAGGGAAACAACTTTATAAATGCATGCATGAGAGTACTTATATGAACATTTTTATTTTTAGATCTTGAGATGGAAAACCACCACTTTTAGTTGTCAGATGGGGGGAAGTTTCCTATGTCAAATAAATTTTTTTGAGTAAAAATTTCTCATTGCATCATGCACAGAGCACTTGAGATGGCATAATCCTTGAATGGCATTAATTTTGAAATTTCACAATTTAATGGGATGCTTAAAAGAGAGGATAAAGGGTTTCAAATAATTTTTCTCCCTTCAAGAAATCTTTGAATGAAGTTTTAAAGGATTTGTTGTCTCACATTAATAGTACTAGTGTTCATATTTTAACAACATTTTAATCCATGGCGTGCTTATATGTATTTTTACTAGCACATAAAGATAGGATATACCATTAAGCTCTTAATTTTTGATTTTCTTAAAGAGATTTGATCTTCTCTTTTGAAAATAAGGGAAATAACACTAGGCACATAACCAATGATTAAGCATAAGCCTATGGATAGAGAGAGAGAGAGAAAGAAAGAGGAGCCTATGGCTAGGATGTGAGAATCCAATTCTCATTCAAGCTCAATATTCTCCAAATCCTAATCCTAGATATCTTATTTATATCAAAAGAAAAATTAAGGAAATTACAAGCAAAAATAATGAAAATAAAATAGGAAATAGTTCCTAATAAAATTTTAAAAAACAACCAAAACTTTCCTTCTATACAAATCAATAAATAAAATAATAAATATTATTATTCAATCATGCAATGAACACTAAATTTAAGTTTAAATCAGCCTCTTGTCGTCACTAGGTTGCTGGTAAGCTAGATAACTTGTTAATTGTACTTTCAACTATTGCTTCCTAGCATATAACTTCATTAGCAAACGGAGAAATCACAATTTGAGCCTATTTCAAAGAATCATTTCATTTAGGGGCATTTTTGTTGAAAAGGGAATTGAATGTAAAATTAATATAGTGTATTTGAAATAATTTAAAGTTGTTTGGTTTCTTGTAAACTAATCATAGGAGTTTATATTTTTTGTATTTGGTTTGAAGAAAAATTGAATTAATGTAAAGCATGACCAATGACGATAGTAGGCTATGGGGCGTGATTGCGACGGTGGCTAACGACAAGCTGTCGGGGTCAAGCGGTGGCGGGGACGTTGATGTTGTTTGATAGCACGTTAGAGGGTGGGGTTAGGTTTTCTGGGTGGGAGGGATGACCGACGGTAGTGGCAACAATGACCGCAATTGACAGTGTATTTTAAAATCATCCGAGTGGCCAATTTGTAATATACAGTTTTGAACTACAAATTCACCAAAATTTTACTTTGCATTCCATTTTCATCTAAATCGTACCAAAATTTTAAGAACTCCTGAATTCTACTTGCCCAACACTAATGCAGGCAACCAAAGAACCCCTTGGCATTTACTAGACTCATTGCTAAAATTATAAGTTGAATATTTATGGTTGTTTAATCTTAACATGCAAAAGTGAGGGTGGATCTATTTTGCCTCCATTGTGGTGTGGACGCTACATACTTGAGTAAGGGAAACAACTTTATAAATGCATGCATGAGAGTGCTTATATCAACATTTTCTCAGACCATGCATAGATACAAGTAACAGGGATGCATTTTTAGATCTTGAGATGTAAAACCACCACTTTTAGTTGTCAGATGGGGGGAAGTTTCCTATGTCAAATAAATTTTTTTGATTAAATTTTTTTCATTGCAACATGCACAGAGCACTTGAGATGGGCATAATCCTTGAATCGCATGGGTTTTGAAATTTCACAATTTAACGGGATGCTTAAAAGAGAGAATGGGGTTTCAAATAAATTTTCTCCCTTCAAGAAAACCTTTGAATGAAGTTTGAAGGATTTGTTGTCTCACATTAATAGTACTAGTGTTCATATTTTAACAACATTTTAATCCATAGTGTGCTTATATGTATTTTTACTAGCACATAGAGATAGGATATACCATTAAGTTCTTAATTTTTGATTTTTCTAAAGAGATTTGATCTTCTCTTTTGAAAATAAGGGAAATACCGCTAGGCGTATAACCAATGATTAAGCATAAGCCATATCACAAAAATAGAACTCCTAAACTTATCCTACCTTGCTACGTATTCTGAATGCTTAGGGCTTGTTTGTTATCACTTTTATTTTTTATTTTTTGTTTTTATTTTTATTTTAAAAGCATGCTTGTTTAATGTATTTTTATATGTTTTTATGTTTTTTTTTAAAATACACATTAACTTGTTTATAAAAACACTTTAAACATCTAAAAATTATTTTGAATGTTTTTTTAAAACAACTAAATATGTTATAATATATCAAATATATTTTATTTCAAGTAAAAATATAAAAAATAATAATAAAAATGAAAAAAAGAAAACAAAAATAAAAACTGATCCCAAAAAGCCTCTGAGCAACTTGCTGTTGTATTGTCTTCATTGTCTTCATTTGGTGATTGATGTTGTTTCATATGGAAATACGTGTTGTTTCTAAGGCATTTTAATGTAAAAAGAGAAAAGAAACAAAGAGATTAGATAAATCAAGAAAAAGGGGAAGAGAAATTAGAGAGAGAACCAAAAGGAAAACTAAAATTGCATCATCATTTAATGATTAAGATCACATGTCAAAGGTCTCTTTATATGGAGTGTAAAAAATTGAATTAAAAGAGTAATGATAATAATATTAATAAATAAAATTTAATCGAAGGCTTGTGGGCTAAGCGTCGTTATGGTTAGGCTTAAGGGCTGAGAGGGGATTTCAATCGAGAGTATCTTTTATTTCAGAAATTGTCGAGAGGGAGAACAGAGAAAGCGAGAGAAAAAGAAGAAGAAACTGTAGGAGTAACGACTGTGAAGGAGGGAAGGAAGAAAGAAGAGGAAACAAAGGAACAGTGAGTGACTGAACCCTAGTTGAAGGGAAGCAACATCAAGGGCTTGCGGCGCGTGATTGAGCTGTGTCGAAGAGGAAAAGGGTAGAGGACTTCCATGCAGGCAAAGAGGAAGTCAAACCCTACTAGCG